AACATTTTACTTAACTGTATGTAACCTAAATAAAACTATAAGTAAACCAAAAGCTACCCTGGATTCCAGAGCCTTCGACAGTAAATAATAAATTGAAGTGTCGCGAAGGCTCTGGAATCCAGGGTAACCAAAAGCCCGAAACGTAATAAATATATTCTATACTTGACTTGGCGCACCACATTCGGAATATTAACAGTTATTTTAGTTGTTCATTAAGTCTTATTCAACCAAGAAGTGAAATTAAACATGTCGTTTAAAAAAGGGTGCAAGTATCGAACGATACCACGTCAGTAATCGATACCGATACCGCTGTTTGTGGTATCGCTGGTATCGAATACCAAGTACTCGGTATCGCCCATCACTACCGGTAATGCGATCGTGTGATGTGTTCCATAAGTAGCCTGTTCTCTCGGAAAATTCCAAAACGCCTCCTGCCAACTCCAACAACGCCTAAGCGCTTAATAAATGAAAATAAACAATGTTTAGCTATACCGGCTAATATGAAATATTTAAATGTAGCGACCAACGTTTTTTTTACATTATTTAGTTTTATTATTATTTCGTCATACGTCACGAGAACAGGCTACTTATGGCACACATCTCGCGAAAATGGTCAAGAATGCTCGCTGTTATAATAAATCACATAAATTAGATTGATCAGTGCTTTTTTTTGTAATGACTAGGCTTGTTCATGTAAGAGAACATCGACTGAGCCTTAAAAAATACCACAAAAAGCTTAAACGGATAGTCTAGAAGCATTTTAAAAAGTCACGTGATATTTGTTTCATCCCTTTTATTTATTTCTTCCCTCGCCTTTTCGCTCGCGCGCCCGCAATCTCTGCTGTTATTTTCGATGGAACGTCATGTAATATTTTTGTTTTGTCAATTTATTCGCCATATTTGAACAATCTTTCGAAGCAATGTTTCTGAAGACATATAAGCTCCCTGTTTGAAGCTATTCACTGGAAATACAAGCTGTTATGAATTATACAAGTAGCTAAGTGCAATAATTTAAATATATTACGTTATGATGTTCATAGTTATTCATATTACGATTTATTAATGTTTTATTCATACTCATAACACAGCTCTTAGTTGGACCCCCTGTGTCATAGAGAGCAAATACGGTCACATACATCTGGGCAAGGCGCTATCTATGATCTATATCGGATTCCGATTTTTTTTTAAATTTGTCAATGATTCGTATAACTTAGATTAAAATTTGATCTTATTTTAATTTTTTTCATAATATTCATGCATGCGGGTTCTATATTGTTGATTTGACATATATCTTGGCGGCATGTCACAACGGTTTAATTATTAAAAAGCTATCCGGCCATCGTGCGTGCAACTGGCCCCAGATATAAAAAAATGGAAGTTGGAACATTCCTCCCGTTCAGTTAAGACACCACTCCCAGTCTTTATTTAAGCCCAGTCATTATTTATTATAAAATAACATGTATATAACGCGTGTTCTGATTGGTCGAAACCCGTGTTTGGATCAGGCCATCCAAACACGGAAGACTATCGTGTTGTTGTTATTTTATAAAACAATTACTTTATGATTTCCGTGTTTGGATGGCCTGATCCAAACACTTGGGAATGTTGCTCGAGTTAAGAAAAGCGGGCAAAATCACTCGCCTTCGGCTCGTGCTTTCGCTCGCTTTTCTTAACTCTCGCAACATTCCCGCGTGTTTGGATCAGGCCATCCAAACACGGAAACCATAAAGTAATTGTATAAGCTAAATGTGCTGTATATAAAACTAGTGGCGTAGCCAGCCCGATGATCTAGTCCCCCTATGCAAATATTGCAACCTCGTCCCCAGGGCCATCCGCGCGAAAACTGAGAGGCCACTCACTGTATAAAACATTTCTTCTTGAATTATACGCCGACTTAAATATCAGATTTGGGAAATCAATTTGCCGTACAAATAATGTAATACATAGTTGTGGTCTTGACACAGGCTATTCCGCATTATCGCTGGTTTTGAATGTTGTATTCCTAAATTAACTTTATTTGTTTAGTTGAAAGAGTAACGGTTCATCAGCCTGCCATTAATATCCATCAGGTAGAGACGTATTATAACTTGGTTGATAAAGGGGTAAGAAGTACAAAATTTAATTACTAAATGCAGTAGGACAGTCTAACTTGTAATCCTAGGATTTAAGATTTTAAGGCTTAAGGAGTTATTAAGTTCAACAGTAAACCTTTTTCTGGTTCGAGGACTCCTCCATTGACAAGTATAAAACCGTCTGGAGTGAAGGACAGTTAATCGGTTTTATATTGAACGTTGGGTACCAGCTAATGCAGGCAGCGAAGAATACAAGCACAAATCATAGTCTATAGACTAAGAGCACAGATGAGGTAGATACAGATGTGAATCTCACGGCAAATTATGTCACACCGATTAAATAAACTTTAAAATTGTATTAATTCACTATTTTATTAAATTTTGATAATGCAGAGAAATAAAACTATACATATTATAGAAGTATTCATGTTTTTTCTATGCCAGAGTTATGTTTTGAGGAATTTATATCATTCGCTGTTTTGTTATTATACATGAGCATCTGAAATTCCCAGCAAGTGTATTTCACGATTTTAATAAGGAATAGATAGGGAAAAAAACAAACTTTTGCTAAATAAAATGTTATGTTAACACTTTTAATAAAAAGAAATCAATAAAAGTGATCGCTTACCGATACTCTTGAAGAATTAATTCCAAAAATAGCCGTCGGTAGCGTAGACTTTTTAAAAAAACAATTTTTCGTCTTTCGAACGGCGTTTTCCTATCTCTTTCCTTATTAAATTTCAGAACGACACTTGCCAGCGCTCGCCGGAAGTGAGAATTCCGTGTGACACAAAACAATCAGCAATTTGACGGAAGATTCACATCTGTATCTACCTCATCTGTGCTAAGAGCCTTGTTGGCTCGAAACGTCGCCTGAAATATGGTCTTAATTTTTTAATCGTCGATTTGATGATTGGTTTTTTAACGTCGAAATATGGTCGTGATAACATATTTAATTAGGCTATAAAATACCGCGGTGAGATATATCTTATTTAACTGCGAGAAATTTCTAGGTACATCTTTGCCCCACTTTTGGTTTCCAAAATACTAACATAAATCCATGGAAATTGAATCATTGAGATAGTCGAAGCTACCAAAACGTCCTGCACAGATTAACAAAAATACTATATAATGAAACTATGTTACGATTAACCATTCTATTTGTAATTAGACAATCTGAACTGAGCAGTTACTATTAGAAACATGCATGGATTTTTAGGTGGTACAATAAATGTCGTAAAAGTTGCGTTAATCGGTATAATGTAGGAAATATAATTTGGATTGTAAAATATGAGGATGTTAGTGTGGGCAAAATATGTAGTTGTTTTTGCCAAAACGTATAATTAGGTCATCGTAAGAAACCAACGCAGTGAAACCCCGCTTTTTGGCTGCCAAGCGCGGAAACCTCAGGAATGGGCGCGTCAATGCTTTGGCTCAGAGACCTTAGCTAATATTATAAATAGAGTTGTAAATTGTAGGAGTTTGGAGTTCGAAGTGAAAAGTTTGAGATTGAATCGAGATTGAAATGAAATTGAATTGATGTGGTCAGACGTGTATTTTATTGCTCTGATCAATATGAATTCTACAACCACTTTAAACGCCTTGTATGGCAATTTTTGCCTAAAGAAGAATAAAGTTAAATGGACAGGAACGCTAGAAGGCCTTAAAGCATTTGTGGCTACAGAAATTAACGAAAATACAGCCGAAAGTACAAGTTGGCGATCACCCGGCGGCGGAACATGGATTTTCGACAGTGAATTGCTATCAGTTACATGGCATAAAACAAGTGAGAATATATATTTTAAAGGAGATAAAGGCAACGACCTCACGAAACGAGTGTACTCATTCCTAACGGCGAGCGAGGGCGCCGCATAAACTGCCGATCCTGTCGAAGCCGAGCTGGAAAAGTCAATGGAAAATCTATTGGCCGACGATGTCGACGTGACGAGTGATAACATCTTTAATGAGCCGTTTTGCCTATAGCTGTGTCGACACCAGCGAGGGTTCTCAAACCGATTGATAGGGGAGAGGCTGCGAAATAATTGAGAAATCGTCATTGGGAACACGAGGAGGCCATTTCTAATCTCGAAAGTACAAAAGCGAGCTCGAAGCCAACAAATGAAAATTTGCATAGAGGCTTACCGATTTTGCATACGGCGACAAATTCACATAATCCCTCAGGAAGCATAGACAAAAGCAACAATGGTGCCTCTGAAATTGGTCTATTGAAATGTAAGCTTGAGAAATTTGCCGATAACGTTACAACCAAATTGGCAGATCTCGCATACGAATTAAACAGCATCAAAGAGAATAGGCCATACTCAATCGTGGTGTTAGAAAACGTTATTGAAGAGCTTAAGAAAGAGAAAGTTGATCTATGCAAAGCCAATGATGAACTCAGAAAGCATAATACTAGTATGACATACACCATAACGGAGCTGAGCCTATCTAACAAGAATCTTGAAAACGAGAAATCAAGTTTACTAACAGCTTTACAGCTCATACAAAATGACTATAATCAGTCTAGCATAAAGTCAAATACCACAGAAAAGCCGTGGAATATTGTGAAAAATCACAAGCCAAATCAGATTCAATTCAAATCATCACATAACTCCACCACTTATATGCCTGTCGTAAAGCCGCCTATTAACCGAAATGTTATAAACTGTAGTTCTGTTAACAGATATGAAATCCTTAGCGACAGCGATCTAGCAGCGTCTGCCGAGAATGAAGAGTCAATCCTAACCCATGACGAACCTACCACGCGGCAGGAAAAAGTCAACACAAATAAAAGCGCTACTAAAAAGCCAATAGTATCAAAGAAAACAAGGACAATTGCCTCACCCAGCAATGTCCCAGATAATTCCGCAAGTGTAAAGCAAAGTCAAGCGTCATCTGAACCAAGTGCTACCCCGGTTCGCAGTACGAAAGCTAAGCGTAATACCGTAATCGTCGGTGATTCGATTATCAAGTATGTTAAAGGCTGGGAATTGTCCAACGTGTCCGAGCGCGTTACGGTTAAGTCATTCTCGGGGGCGACGGTTGATGACATGAAGGACTTTATCAAGCCAATACTGCGAAAAAACCCAGAGAAACTAATACTGCATATAGGAACTAATGACCTACGTAGCACGGACTTAAAAGTTGTTTCTGATAAAGTATCCAACTTGGTACAGACGATCTATCAGCAGTGTCCTGATATCAAGGTCATTGTTTCTGGAATTCTTAGTAGAAAAGATGTCAATGGCATTGCAGACAGGGTAAGACAAACAAATTCCTTGATTAAATCCTCATGTTGTGAAAATGGTTGGGTATTTATAGAGAACTCCAATATAAAGGACTCTCACCTGAATTCCAGAGGATTACACTTAAATCCCTCTGGTAGTTTGCTATTACAAAAGTGCTAATTCTCAAAATTCTACATCCAACCCATTTCCTAATTGTGCAAATTCTAGGGGGTTTAAGATGGCTTTACTTAATATAGCCAGCTTACCTAAACATGTTGAGGAATTACGCATATCTAAACTCTTTTCAAATTTAGATTTATTTGCTTTAAATGAAACCAGAAAGGTCCACGAGATCTCCCAGAAAACTATAGGCCAATTTCAATCTTACCTGCAATAAGTAAAGTTATGGAAAGAATTATGTATGATCAGATCTATGAATACCTTAACGACAATTCGATCCTTTCTGAACACCAATTTGGTTTCCGCAAATCTCATTCAACTGCTTCGGCTCTTTTGGATTGCACGAACAGTTGGTGCGTTAATATGGACCGCAAAATGTTTAATTTGGTTGTATTATTGGATTTAAAAAAGGCCTTTGATACTGTAAACCATGATATTTTGGTGCGAAAACTTGAGCTATACGGTATCAATGGTAGTGCCTTAACCATGATACAATCATACTTGTCTGATCGCAAACAGAAATGCCAACTGGGAGACGTAATGTCATCTGAGCGGCATGTGACATGCGGTATTCCACAGGGATCCATCCTTGGTCCACTTCTCTTCCTCTTATATATATAAATGATCTTCCAGAATGTCTTCATGAAGCTGCCCCTCGGCTATTTGCCGATGACACCAATCTTACGGTAGCTGGTGAGTCAATAGAGGAAGTTGAGTTGGCCATGAATAATGATCTCCTTAGTGTACATACCTGGCTTTTAGCCAACAAACTGAGTCTCAATGCTTCAAAAACGGAATTTATACTTATTGGTTCAAATCACAGATTAACGAACCTTACTAATCAACCAAATATAAAAATAGATCAAGACAAAATTAAGCAAGTTCATCATAGTAGATTACTTGGGGTTCAAATTGATGAAAAATTGTCTTGGAACAAGCATGTTGAAAGCGTGGCCAAGAAGGTTACTTCCGGTGTAGGAGCTTTAAGAAGAATACGTGACTTTGTCGATAGGGAAACCTTGATCTCTATCTACAATGCTTTAGTTCGCCCTCATTTCGATTATTGCAGTGAGGTATGGGATACCTTGGGCATTGGCCTTTCAACTCGACTTCAAAAACTGCAGAATACAGCGGCGAGAATAGTAATGAGTATGACAAATGATACCCCTGGATTAGAAGCAATTACTGCCTTAGGGTGGGAAACTCTTGAGTCTCAACGAGCTAAGTCTAAAGCAGTACAAATGTACAAAGTTTTAAATGATTTGTCCCCAAATGCACTTGTTAATCTTTTTATGCGCAAAAGTGATGTCACAGATTACGAGCTTAGGGGTTCCTCTACATCACTGCAAATCCCTTTTCCCAGGACTGAAAATATTAAGAAAAGTTTTTCTTACGATGGGGCGAAATTGTGGAATTCCTTACCTGAAGATTTGCGTGATTCGGCTACCTTGCCAATATTTAAAAGTCGAATTAGTGCTCACAATTTCTCATAATATAATGTAAACATAATTATTATGGTATAATATTAGGTTGACTATTGTAAATATGTTCATTTTTAATGTTTGTTACTATTTATAATGTAATTGACACGCCCCTCGTGGAAACCAGCGAAAGTTGACGAGGCTAGCGTGTGATTTTTAAATAAAGTTTATCATCATCATCATCATGTATTTAGAGAGAAGTGTTCAAATGTTGTAACGCAATTATGGTAAAGAAAATATATAAGTAATATAACCGATAGATACAGTCCCTTGATCGGAAGGAATTGGGAACCAGCGTGTGCAAACTTCCTTGACGGTGTAGACTGTGTGTAAAGTTTGCGAAAATAAATGAAATCAGTCAACCAACTGCAAGAAAAAATAATTCCTTCAAATTAAATTTAAAAATTTCATTCAAATTTCCTTTGACAGAAATTCCTTTGAATTAAAAACAGATAAATGGTAAAATTCCTTTTTTATTCAATTGAGCAAAAGCTTTCATTGAACATATAAGTTAATATAATCATAGTTAATAGAATAGAAGGTTTAGAAACTCGTTAGAATAACAATATAACTCATTATCTATGTTAGTCAACGTTCATTCATAAATACGGTCCTTCACCGTCACGTGTGTATTATATTTTTGCCAAATCCACCAATAGCAATTTCTAATTTACCCTATTGTTCGAGTCACGGATAGGTAACTTTCCTACAACATTGCTATTGGTTAGTCGGGCAAAAATACAATACGCACGTGACGGTGAAGGACCAGATTTATGAATAAACGTGAACTAACATAGATAGTGAGTTATGTTGTTATTATAACGAGCTTCCAAACCATCTATTCTATTAACTATGATATAATATACTCATCCAATTATAATCAGTGGCGATATAGCAACGAGTCATGCTATGCAAATTTTAAATGAATTGCATTATTGAAACCTCTAGAAATGTATTGCCTTTTAACGTTTTTAGATGCAAGTTTAATTTGTTAGTATGGCATGGCCAGTTGTCGGCTATACTATAATTTAAGATAGCCTATAAACCAATGTATTGCTCAATTCCTAATTTGATGAATTCCTAATGCTTTTAAAGATAGAATTCCTAATGATTTTAAAGATAGCCTAACCAATATTACATGATGTGATGATTGCCAAACACATGCTAATTATAATGCGAAATTAGGGGCGAATGGGGGCGAGTTTGGCAATCATCCCATCATTACTATAACTAAAGTGCAACCTATTAAAGTATTTAAACCCTTCATCAAATTAGGAATTGAGCAATACAGTTAGGCTATCTTTAAAAGCCGGTTATGTATGACTAGGTTCCGCCACGCCCTGGTTCCGCCAAATCATTTTTCAAATGCGCCCGACTTCCGTAATTATCCTAATACCCCGTTATTAAAATTGATCGAGAAATTTACTAATTGCTACGTGTAACCTAGTAACGCATATTTATCAACGATGCGATATCGTATGTACTATTTAAAGCACGCGTAGGAGTGTTTTATCACATATAACACACGACGCGTAGCGGAGTGTTTTATATGTGATAAAACACGACTATACAAGTGCTTTAAATAGCTTAAAAAACGACTCATCTTTTACGAGTTCATTGGCGAAGTAATTTTTAAAATAAACTTTGTCTAAACCGAGAAAATCAAAGCTAAAGTTTATGTAAATTAACATGATTTTTTATCACATATAAAACCACGACACGCTTATGATTTTTCTTTGTGTTTTCCTCCTGAATTATTAATGAGTTTTTTAAAGTAATATAGAACGTTAATCTGTGCCAAAAAGGTAGTAGTCTACCCTAAACAGTTTAAAAGTTTTTAAATATTTTTTGGCTTTATTTATTTCATAAACTATTATATTTTCACTTCATGGTGTTTTCATTCGGATATTTTAAACATTTTCGTCAAAATATCCATTTATGTAGAAAGATATCCGATAATTCTGCTTAGCAACGGTTTATTTTTACTATGTTTACTTTGGTTGCTATGGGGTTTTTCATCCAAAATTATAGTATTTTGCCGCAAACCCCCTCAATAGTACAAAGGCTTTCCCCCTCCTAAAATATGCATCATCTTGCTCGATCCATGCCTCTGAAACCAACGCAATAGCGTTTTGTTGAGCATTGCGTTATGGTGATTTTTGAGGAGTGATGCTAAATAATAAACAATCCCTTTCAATCGAAGTCTTTTAAA